TAGATCTGTGTTACCTGCAGGAACTGGATGTGATCCTGTGTGTGTGAAAGCTGCTCCAGCTCAGCGTCTCTCCTCCTCAGATCATTGATCTCCTGCTCCAGTCGCTCCAGTCGTCCTTCAGCTCGACTCACTGCAGTCTTCTCCTGATCTCTGATCAGCCGTATCAGCTCAGAGCGGCTTCTCTCAATGGAGCGGATGAGCTCAGTAAAGATCCTCTCACTGTCCTCCACTGCTGTCTGTGCAGAGTGCTGTTAGGACACACAGTGATTCAGGCTTCAGTGAGTCTGAACTGAGACGGAGACAAACTTCTCTTCTTCTCCAGACTCACCTTATGAGACTCCACAGCCTCTCTCAGCTGCTGAAGATCTTTCTCTCTCTGCTGGATTCTCTGCTGGAGCGTCTTCTGCGTCTCCTTCAGCTGCTTCTGCAGGACAAACAGATGATAGTGAATCTCACAGAAAACTACTGGCACTAAATCATCATGTGAAGAGCTGAATCCAGGAAAAGTGGAGCTGATAACTCACGGCTGTAGGTTCAAACTCCAGAAAGGATGGCTGATCATTTATCACTATCAAACATGATTTATCATGAAGCATAAGGACTGTTTCACACCACATATGTAAATATTATAAAAGTGAATCTGACACAGACTGCTGTGTAATTCAGCTGCGGCTCTAAACAGAAAATAGATGAACTAAGTGAAGCTATAAATGACTGAAATTATCTGCATTATGACAGATTTACTGAACAGAAAGTCCTCTGTCACTGCATTTAACTTGTATTTTGACCATAGACTGTATAAAAACATGGACGTAGTGTCCGTGATGTCACCCGTAGGTTTCTGAAGAGCGTTTTTGAAGCTCAAAGTTGGCGGAGCCAGCCGTCACCGTGCGTCACTCCTGGATAATCAAAAATGGGCAAAGAGGCGGGAGCTGGTTGCTGAAACCACGCCCACCTAGCTCAACGATGGGGACAGCAGCGGCAATCCACCTGTCATTCAAGTGGCCACGCCCTTAATTCTGCAGATCTTTAAGGTTTAATATAATTTAAACGGATAAGTTCTAAAAAAATTCACCCCCTCACAGTTGTGACGAAGGGCAAAATTAGCTATATAGACCAAAACCACTTTTTGTACCAGGCTGTAAAAATATGTTTCCTGCTGTAAAGCTGGGCATTTTAACATGGGGGGTCTATGGGACTGACTCCTTTTTGTAGACAGCCTCTAGCGCAGGGTTCCTCAAATCTTGCCCTGGAGGGCCAATGCGCAGCATGAGTTTAGCTCCAACACTGATCAAACTTACTTACCTGCGAATTTCTAATGATCCTGAAGACATTGATTAGCATGGTCAGGTGTGTTTGATTAGGGTTAGAGCTAAACTCTGCAGGAAAGTGGATCTCATGGGCCAGATTTGAGGATTCCTAGCGGCCAGTCGATGAATTACAGTTTTAGTCGCTTCCGTGTTGGTTTCACGAGAGAGACCGCAAGGTTGCCACTTAATTTTGACTGATATAACTATATATTTTGTCAAAGAACGGGTGAATAGTTCACTCCATTATTTTATGGTATTTAATCAAAATCTATTTACGAAAGATTTTGCTGATAAAGGTTTATGGTGCATTTTCAGCAAACAGTGAAACTCTTCTTGCAGCTGCTGTTCATTTCTGCTGTCGTGTGACATGTGAATGCTGTGAGCTGTTCATATGGTGCTGATATAAACACATATGAAACGAGTCTCAGCAATACTTCATCAGTGTCTAGTGTTAAATACCTATTTCTCTGTCCTCTGTGCTGCAGCTGATACAGTGTCGTTGTTTTTATGTTCATCACACAGCACACATATACACTTCTGGTCAGTGCGACAGAAAACCTCAAGGAGCTTCTCATGTTTCTGGCAGATCATCTCCTGCAGTCGTCCAGTGGCTTCAGTCACTTTGTGTGGCTTACGTGAATGAAACTCCTCATGCTGCTCAAAATGAGTTTGACAGTAAGATTCCAGACACACCAGACAGGACTTGACGGCTTTGTATTTTCTTCCAGTACAGACGTCACACTGCACATCTCCAGCTCCAGCGTAACAGTCAGCAGAGAGTTTGGCCTTCTTCAGTTTCTCCACCACTTCAGCCAGCATGGTGTTTCTAGGTCTTAGACTGAAGGTCTGTCTGCACTGAGGGCAGCTGTAGACTCTCATCTGATCCTCGTGATCCCAGCACTCTGTAATACAGCTCTTACAGTAACTGTGTCCACAGGGAAGGGCCACTGGATCCAGACACACTGCACACATGAACTCCTTCTGATCCACCAAAATTCTGGCTTCTGCCATTTTACTGCAGAAATACAGACACAAACACTCAACAGCTCAACTAATGCTTCAGTTTCTCTTTCCCTGAACTGATGAGTTTAAATACTTTACTGGTTCTGGGTTTGAGTGACGTGTGTAAAACAGGTTTGTCTGCGAGTCTGTAAAGCAGGTTCCTCATTCCTGCCGAGTTTAGTTTCGACACACCTGGCTGTTATTAAAGTAAACACAAAGACCTTGACTAGTTGATTCAGGTGCGTTTAATTAGAGATCAAACTAAACTCTGTGGGAAAGTGACACTTCTGGACTTTGAATGGGGAAATCTCATCTGCTTTCTTGTAAATTTATTTCAATAAATGAATATATTTATTTGCATTCATGTCTAAATGTTTATTAGCATTCATGACTAATTGTTTTTCACCCCTTGCCCACAAGAACAAGTGCAGCAATCTCCCCCCTGCGGCGTCAACATCAGCTCTAAGAACGCAACACCACAGCCATCAGCTTCCTGTAGAAAGTTGATGCACCCCGAAACTGTGATTGCAGGACATGCACTTCTGCCAGCCCTCTGAGGGATCATGACAGCCAGGTATGAGTTGCACGACACTCACTGCCTCTACTTCAGGACGATACTCTTCCTGAGTTGGGCACCCATGCTCCCTCTCGCTGTCCCACCACAGATACATTGACTGTTGTCTCTTTGGTGTCACTTGTACAGAGTTTGGGGACCTGGCTAGCGCTGTCCAAGCCATCTCGCTTGCTCATTTGGACAATCAAACTAAGGTACAGGATTCAGTCCCCCAGGCATCCCCCCAGGTTCAGCGACGGCCTTTTTACTTCAGTGGCAAACAAAGATGCCCCTATCCTGCATGTGGAGATTGCCGTCCTACTGTCTAAGGACGCAACAAAGCCTGTCTCACCGGCCGAGATGAAGTCGGGGTTTTACTGCCCTTACTTGATCATACCCAAGAAAAGAGATGGGTTATGACCGATCTTGGATCTGCGAGTCTTGAATCGGGGCCTGCACAAGCTCCCGTTCAAGATATTGATGCAGAAATACATTTTTGATGCAGAAACTCTCATACGTTCACCCCCAAGATTCGTTTGCAGTGATCATCCTGAAGGACACATACTTTCAGGTCTTGATTTTACCTCGACACACATTGATCCTTTGGTTTGCTTTTTTCCGTATGGACACTACTGGCCCACCCGGACCTGGTTTTCAGACCTGATGCTCCTCACGACAGCCTCTCCCTGATGGATTCCCCTGAGGATGGACCTCCTTTATCAAGAACGGGCACCATATGTCACCTGCGTCCAGATCTGTGGAACCTCCAGGTGTAGCTCCTGGACAGGACTCTGAGAACTTAAGTGGCCTGTCACAGGCAGTGATGGACACTATCACTCAGGCAAGGGTCCCCTCTACTAGGCAGGCATATGCACTGAAGTAGAGTCTGTTAGTTGAGTGGTGACCTTGTCAGTAAGACCCCCAAAGATGCCCGATCAGTGTTGTGCTTTCCTTTCTGCAAAAGAGGTTGAAGTGGAGGCTGTCTCCCTCCACCATGAAAGTGTATGTTGCTGCCATTCCGGCACATCATGATGCAGTGGACAGCAGATTCCTGGAGAAGCACAATCTGATCATCAGGTTCTTGAGAGGCGCTAGGAGGTTAAACCCTCCAAGACTACGCCTCATCCCCTCATCCTTGCTGGGCTACAGAAAACCTTTGAGTCGCTCGAGTCAGTTGAGCTTAAGATTCTGTCTTTTAAGAAAGTACTCCTGACTGCACTCTTGTCCATCAAGAGGGTGGGGGACCTGCAAGCATCTTTGGTCAGTGAAAGTTGCCTAGAATTTGGGCCGGCTGATTGTTGCGTGATCCTGAGACCCCGGCCTGGATATGTACCCAAAGTTCCCACCACTCCCTTCCAGGACCAGGTGTTGAACTTGCAAGCACTGCTGTTGCTGTGTCCCGTCTGCACCTTGTGGATTTACATGGACTGCACACAGAGCTTCAGAAGCTCAGACCAGCTCTTTGTCTGCTTTGGAGGTAGGGAAAGGGAAAGGCTGTCTCCAAGCAGAGTCTAGCCCACTGGCTAGTGGAGCCATGTCCTTGGCATACCAGACACAAGGTGAGCCGTGCCCCCAGAGAGTGAGAGCACACTCCACTCAGAGTGTTGCCTCCTCCTGGGCCTCGCTACATGGTGCCTCTCCGGCAGACATTTGCAGAGCTGCAGGCTAGGCCACACCTAACATCTTTGCAAGATTTTATCTCTAGGTTGAGCCAGTGTGTTGCGTACAAACAAGCAATAAGCAGGAGAACTGGCTCGGTGTCTCACTTGCAATGCCATTCCCTCTATGAAGGGATGTAAGCGCCATTTCTGCTCTTCCAGAGAGTTCCCCAGTCGACGAACCCTGACTCGAGTTCCTCCAGTACCCTGTGGCAGCCAGACTCAGTAAGGGAGTGTGGGGTAAGAGGAGCCATTTTTTTTATTTATGTGGTCCTCAAGATAAGGGAAAATGAGGCAGAAGAACAATGAAAGCATCTAAAGTAACAGAGAGTTTCTTGAGTTAATTAAATAAAAACTGAATTAGAATGAAGGAATAAATGTAACTGAAACTAATAAACATTTTGGTCAAAAGGTACTTGGCATAGTAGCTTTTCTGCAATGCCGAACAGACCATTAGGGACTACACATGGAAAGAGATATTTGATTATAACATGTATATATATGTATATATGACCATATTAAAATACTAGTGTACACTTCAGAGATTTAACATAACTTCAGTCCCTTATGGTGGGGTACGTTAAAACGCTGGCTCAAATTACTCCACAGCATTTGGCTCACTTTGCCCCATAGCTGCCATTTTGGAAAAAAACTAGCTAGCTTACCAATTCAGGCTAGTATTTAGCTAAATGATTTGAATGGTTTTATGTTACTAAATCACCAATATACCATCGTAAATATTTGTAGACCTGGATAAATTTGCTTTGATGTAACAGCCATTACATCTGTTATGCTAAAATTGTACTTTGACAAGCTCCTACGATTGCTGATTACTTCACATTACCCCACATTAGCTATACATTCCTACCGTAACTTCAAATGTTAGTCTATTGAAACTTATTTCTCTTACTTCTATCATCTCATTAACCAGTGGTTGGAGCAGAAGATCTAACATTAACTTGTAGGCTACAGTGAATTTTGTAAATGTTGTTCAGGAAACCTAAAGCTTCAATGACTTCAAATAGGGCTGACAACTTTTAAGTTCAGCCTGGAGTGAGAATTCTGGAATAATTAACAAGCCTGCGATTACTACCAGTCAAACATTTTTGAATTATAGATTTTTTAAGTTTTTTTTTTATTTTTTAAAGAATTCTCTTCTGCTCACCAAGCCTGCATTTATTTGATCCTAAATATTTTTTACTATTTAAAATAACTGATTTCTATTAGGAAATATTTTAAAATGTAATTTATTTCTGTGATTTCCAAGAACATTTTTAGCATCATTACTCCAGTCACATGATCCTTCAGAAATCATTCTAATATTCTGATTTGC